GGACTCCATGGCAGGACACGTGGATTTTTTGTTTTCACTTAACAAATAAATGACCTTTAGATTATTCATGGGAAAAGAAGCCTAGCGATAAGATAGAACTGCTTAGTAAGTTCATGCATTTAGTGATCCTTTACTATGTTCTGTGTGTTTAGTCACTGTACTTATACATATAGATGATTATCTTAAAATACTTTCACTCAGGTGGTAAGTCAGACCAGGTGAAATATTTAGATCAATTTCTAAATGAAAATTTGAGTTATTAGTTATGAATTTATAACAGTTATGAATGAAACCACAATCACTTAAAATTTCACAAATCAGTTAGAATGTAATGTCTTCATGGAACAATAAAAACAAATAGTTATTTCCCCTGTTATTTCTGTGTCTGTTCTACAGTCCCAAATAGACTATAAGCAAACTGAATGAGATGCCTATTAATTCAGCCCTTGTGTCTGGTGTGGGCTTCCTTGACTTTTAGATGACAACTTTCCATCTTGGCAATTTAGACATTATTCAAACTTTTGGCTGTTTACACTAAACTGAGTTATTGAAGGCATTGGATAAACTATCTTTTATAAAACAATATAACCATACTTCAACTAAGATTTGAAGAAATACCTTTGAGCCAGTACAGTTTAAATTTGAATAAAGATGAGATGAAAAGGAGAGAGAAAACAGAAGAACTTAGTATTCATTTATTCTATCTGTTGAATTTTAAGTAAATCTTTCAATTAATTTTAATTAAAAATTTTTTAGTTTTCTGTCTTTGATATGCGCTATGGGATTCTTTAGAGTCCTGTATGATACGGATGCAGATTTAAGATTTAGAAGGTTTCCATGTAAATGATAAGAAAAGCTTAAAGAGAATAAATATGTGAGTGGTCCCTCTTACTGCCACTGCCCTTCCCTGATCTATACATCTCACATGTGCCAGCATCCCCTCTGGCCTCACCTCCAGCAGCTCCAAGGCTGGCCGCTGACACCTCTCCTCCAGTTCCTCAGCCAGCTCCTTCAGGGCCTTGCTCTGCAGGGCCAGCCTGTTCTTGCTCTCCCGCAATTTCTGCAGGGTGGTTCGTTCCTCCTCCTCCACCCGCCTCAGTTGCAGTTGCTCCTCCTGAGCCAGGAAGCCACGGTGCTTCTCAAATTCCATTCGGAAGCTCTGCCTCCGAATTTCTACTTTCTCCTGAAGTGACAATAAGCCAGATCATCATTCCCTTGGCTTCTGTGGCACTCAACTAGTGTACCATCTCTGAGATACCCATCTGCACGTAAAGAATTATCTAACTGCAAGACACGACAGTCCACTCAAAACTGTAGATGATAGTACTTTCTAACAGCATACATAGACCTGAAGCCATTTGAAAGAGAAATTTGAAGATAGTTCTGATGCCCAGCATTTGAGAAAGATTGTTAAATCTGGGCTTCCACAACAGTCTTGGAGTAGGACACTTAAATATGTTTCAGATCAGTACGTAAATTGTGCAAAGAGGAAGTACAAATTGGAGCTCAGTATCCGTTAACTTGTTAGCATAGAGCCTCAGCAGAAATATTTACATACAGAATAAGCACTAGAATGAGAAATATGCAAAAACACCTGGAAAATAAAATATTAGAGTGAGATATGTTTAAATGTGACTATGAAAAGGCTTAGATATTATAAAAATGAACCTTTGAAATATGGTAAGTATAAAGGCAAATACTTTGCCCCAGGTAAGATAGACTTAAATGGTCTTATTTCCACTTATACAGAGCTGACTTCAAGAATTAGTTCTGCTTTTTATATGACTTTTAATCTCATAAAGTTTATGAGATTAAAAAGTTTATAAATTTCTAAACTTATAAAGTTTATAAGAAAACCTGAAAAGCACACATCGCTCAGGATAACATTCGAATTGAATTATGTGAAGGTTAGTATGTGAAAAACTAAGTCTAAGTTGAGAATAAAGGGAAATTATTATTTTTTATCAAAAATCATTTTATTGGGGTCTCTTACAGCTCTTATAACAATCCATATATCAATTGTATCCAGAAAATTTGTACATATGTTGCCATCATTATTTTCTAAACATTTACTTTATGTGAGCCCTTGGAATCAGCTCCTCTTTTTATTTCTCCCAGCCTCCCCTCTTGTGACCTCGTGATAAATTATGTTATTATTATTTTCATATCTTACACAGACTGCTGTCTCCCTTCCCCCATGGTTTCTGTTGTTCATCCCTTGGGTGTGTGTATGTGTTGAGGGTGGGGAGGGTTGTTAATGTGATCATTTGTGATCGGTTAAAGGGAAATTATTTTTCACTGACTCTCAAAATATTGTATTTATTACTCTCCCACATGGAAGGTAAAAACAAAAATATATAAATTGAGATAACATGGAGACTCCTTTGACAAGCTTAGAGAAAACGGTTGGTGCCTGGTTTCACAGGGCAAAATTTAAAATATGAGGTAACTTAACTTTAGAAACAGTAAAGAGCTTGTCCTTTAGACTTATGTGGAACTTAATATGTTCTGCCACCACTGGTCAGTCAGCTTATCACACTGTGCTAGCTTGTGTGTTGCTGTGATCCTGAAAGTTATACATGGGGTTTCAAACACCAGCCGCATCAACCATGCTGATTAGGTTTCAGTTGAGCTTCCAGACTAAGGCAGAATAGGGAGAAAGAGGGGGGAGTCTACTTATAAGGGATTAGCCACTGAAAATCTTATGAATAGCAGTGGAGCATTGTCTGATATTATTCCTAAAGATTATTCCCGCAGGTAGGAAGGTCCTCAGAATAGGATTGGGGAAGAGCTGCCCCTTCAAACTCGAGTTGACTTTAATGATGTGGATTGGATAAAACGATTGGGACTTTGATGGCTCAAAATGTAAAGAAATAGCTGAAAATATTAATAATCAGAATGCAAAATGCATAAAATATGAATCTAGGAAAATGGAATG